AAGATTATTCGCAGCCCGAGATCACGCAACGTTCGAGGCGGCAACCAACCCCCAAATCGCAAACCCAAACCTTCCGCCAAAGCCGCCAAAGCTGCCAAGGGTAAACGAAATGGCGCACGCATGAATGCAAAATCTTCCGAAAATGACGAGGGCGAAGATGCGGAAGCAGCGGCTATCGACGAAGTTCTGCAGGAGCAAATCATCAAATCCCGGCCAACCCCTATTCGCTATGAGCCTCAGGAGGTTAACTACTCTACTTTGAAAAAGACCTGGCCCTCAATTCCCACAGACGTGGACTCACGTTCGGCTGCCGTCTATGAAAAGCTTTCCGGCTTGGGCGGCCGCGTTGCCAATGGTTATATCCCGCCCCATGAGCTTGGAAGACGCCTATGGAAGGGCCAGAGCGTTCTGTTCAACAACGAGAATGAGAAAGCTGAGGCTTTGGAAGAGATCAAGCGACTGGCTCAGCTTCGTGCCGATCGAATTTCACAGCGCAAGGGTGACCTTATGGAGCCTCGAAATGTCGAGTTTAGTCCCATCGACGCAAAAACTACCAAGTCTCTCATGGCAACGTTCGTCCAGGGTGACTACCCCACGTGTGAAGTCGGGAAAGATGGACATGCCGTATTGGGAGAGGTGTTGAAGAACCTCCGGAATAACGGGACCTACCAGACAACCGGGAAGACCTCACAGTTCATGGCCAAGATTGAATCTCTTGTCTCTGCTGGCCGCAAGACCAAGAGCGCCTAAGGATATCCGAACAAGTGCCAAGAATTGATTTGTATTATATTTGTTCCGATGATCAGGTTCATTTTCCCCATCTTCTCGCCATCTTCTTTCTCCCCATATCTTCCCCATATCTTCCCCAATTATGCCTATATCTGTACCTAGATTTACAAAGTCGTATTTTACAAAACGCCCATTGCCATAAGCTTATAATTTGTTTTTCCCACCATTTCCCTTGGCTTGCGAATTGGGCTTCTTATGCCTGTTCCAATGTCTTCTTGGCCGCTTCAAATGCATCCTTCACCTCCTTTTGGCCCTGGTCTGTAACCTTCTCCATCTGATCGTGAGCCTTGCGCACGTCATCTGGTCGAGCGAGTTTCTTCTTCTGCATGTCCTGAAGACGTTTATGCATGGCACCCCTAGAGTCACGTACTACACCGGCAGCCTTTTCGAATGCTTGCTTGGCAGCTTGGACGTTCTTATCCCGGGATTCTTTTGTAGGCGGTGGGATAGGAATGTTAAGCTGAAGGGCGTTGTGAGGATCGGGCTGAGGGGTCAAGGAGAGGTTTGAGGAGACGATAGCTGAAGTGAGAGGTTTCAAGTGCTGCTCAAAATGTATTAGAGTTGGTTCATTGGGACAGCAATACCAGGCTCATGCCACAGCAAGAAAGAAGCTCAAAAAAGAAAAGAAAAGAAAAGAAAAGAAAAAACAAAAAGAGCGATCGAACATCATGAACTTACATCCTCTTCGGCCGCCAAAAGAGTAACCATACGTCCTCCCTTGGGCACAACCTGCGCCAGATCTCCCAATTTAACCGAATCTTTGCTGTCTTTGCTCAGCTGGACTCTCAAACTTTCTAAGACTGTAGTGTTGAACCGTCCTCCTGCGCGAAGCTTGGACAGATCATCTTTTAGCCTAGCAATAGCTGTGGAAATGCCATTGTGTAATTGGGAGAGATCAAAGGGATCTTCGGAAGGAGCACTAGGGGTCTCCTCTGGCTCAGAGGCAGAACCAGAAGCTTTCTTGGCCTTGTCCTTTTTCTTGTATAGGGCAGGTGAATTGGCAAACTCACGCCGATTGAGAGGAATGGCGCGCTGGGTTCGGGGTAGGAGACATAATGGTTGAAAGGCCTGAGTCCCTTGACGACGTGCAACAAGACGAGGGAAAAATGAGCGAATTGACTGGAACATAATATGTTGCGTTGGTGGAAGCGATTGTTGAAAAAGTTCAAGAGCGGAGGCACACATTTCAGAAGTTGATCTCTCTCACATTACCCGCCCTTCCGCCTCGCGGCCAAGAAGTTACTTACGTATATCAACGATGTAGAGACTATTACAAGTATTACAACGACAGGAGATCATCACAATGTCATTAAATTGCAGATGGCGAACTTCGTCTACAAAAAACAAAACAAATTCATACTTTTCAAGAAAAGAAAACTGCGCCCAAGTTGCCCGGCTTCATAAACAAAGCGTGACAGAGACCAACTCTGCCCAAGGTCTACATGGCGCAGATTCCCTGAGAAGCAGAGTCCCGGGAAAGAGGAAAATTCGTTGGCCATAAGTCTATGTTCATGTCTTCCCATGTATGCATTTACCGTGTGGCCATAGCCTTGGTAATCAGACGCTTGAGAGCAAGCTCCTTCTTCTTGAGGTCCTCGGGGGTGGAGTCCTCAACCTCGAGCTGAGCCATAGCATCACTGAGAGCAGACTCAATGCGCTCCTTGTTGCCGCGCTTGAGCTTCATGGACATACCAGGGTCGGAGACAATCTCCTCGACACGGGAGATGTAAGACTCGAGCTGCTGGCGAGACTCGAAACGCTTGGTGAAAGCCTCATCGCTGATCTTGAACTTAGCAGCATCTAAAAAAAAATTGTCAAGTCAGCATGTGGTCGTAAGATTAAAGTTTGCAGAAGAAACATACCGTCAACCATCTGGTCGATCTCGGAGCTGGAAAGCTTGCCAACAGCGTTGGAGATGGTGATGTTGGCGGTGCGGCCAGAGGTCTTCTCAGTGGCGGTAACCTTCAGGATACCGTTGACGTCAACCTCAAAGACACACTCGAGAGCGGCCTCACCGGCGCGCATGGGAGGAAGGGGAGCAAGAGTGAACTCGCCCAGGGAGGTGTTGTCAGCACAGTTGGTACGCTCACCCTGGTAGACGGGGAACTGGACAGTGCTCTGGTTGTCGACAACAGTGGTGAAGGTGCGCTTCTTGATAGTGGGGACAGTCTGGCCACGGTTGACAACGGGGGCGAAGATGTTGCCTTCCATGGCAACACCAAGGGAAAGAGGAACAACGTCAAGAAGGAGCAGATCGGCGGTCTCAGCAGAGGTGGCCTTGCCGGAGAGGATACCGGCCTGGACGGCAGCACCGTAGGCAACAGCCTCATCGGGGTTGATGCTCTATAGAAGAAGAAACAAAAAGGTAAGTAACTTGGGTTTGACGTTAGATCAAGTAGTGCGGTTTGTCTTACCTTCTCGAGCTTCTTGCCATCGAAGAAGTCGCTCAGGAGCTTCTGGATACGAGGAATACGGGTGGAGCCACCAACAAGGACGATCTCGTCAACCTTGTTCTTAGGCATGCCAGAGTCCTTGAGGACCTGCTGGACGGGGTCGAGGGTGCCAGAGAAAGCCTTGGCGTTAAGGTCCTCGAAGCGGGCACGGGTGATGGAGGAGTTAAGGTCCTCACCGTCGAAGAGAGAGTCAATCTCGACGGTGGTCTGGGTAGCGTTGGACAGGGTACGCTTAGCACGCTCGCAAGCAGTGCGGAGACGACGGAGAGCACGAGCATCACCGGAGAGATCCTTGCCAGTCTTGCGCTGGAACTCCTTCTTGAAGTGCTCAAGGAGGTTAGTGTCGAAATCCTGACCACCAAGGTGAGTGTCACCAGCAGTGGCCTTGACGGTGAAGACACCACCCTGGATGTTCAGCAGGGACACATCGAAGGTACCACCACCGAGATCGTAGATGAGAACGTTGCGCTCCTTCTCAGACTTGCCAGCGCCGAGACCGTAGGCGATAGCGGCAGCAGTAGGCTCGTTGATAATACGGAGAACGTTCAGGCCAGCGATGGCACCGGCATCCTTGGTGGCCTGACGCTGGTTGTCGTTGAAGTAGGCGGGCACGGTGATGACAGCCTTCTCAACCTTCTTGCCGAGCTTGATCTCAGCGACCTCCTTCATCTGTCCAAACAGTCAGCAAACAAATCCCACAAATGTGGAATGTATGTATATATATCGTCATACCTTCATGAGGACCATGGAGGAGATCTCCTGGGGAGAGAAGACCTTGGTCTCGCTAAGGTACTCAACCTGGACAACGGGGTTGCCACCCTGGTCGATGACCTTGAAGGGCCAGGACTCAACATCCTTCTTGACGATGGGGTCCTCGAAGCGGCGACCGATCAGACGCCTGTTCCATTTGAGTTAGAACGAATTTGAAAATGTGGAGAATGCGCATATCTCGAATTGATAGACTGCGCAAGAGGTTTTTTTTTTTCTTCTTCTTTTTTTTTTCTAAGAACTCACTTGATATCGAAGACGGTGTTGGCAGGGTTCATGGCGGCCTGGTTCTTGGCGGCATCACCAATCAGACGCTCCTTGTCGGTGAAAGAGACGAAGGAGGGGGTAGTGTAGCTACCCTGGTCGTTGGCAACTGATCAAATGGTCAGTATTATCTCAGAGAAAAATCGAATTTGAGGGAGGAAAGCGTACTGATCTCGACATTGGTGCCCTCGTAGTTGGCAACACAAGAGTAGGTAGTACCTAAAGAAAAGAGAAAAAAAGGCAATTAGCAGCTGTGTGATCGAATTTAGTAGAGCAAAAACGTACCAAGATCGATGCCGACGGCACCGTCGTAAACCTCAGAATCGGCCATTATGAAATTGTACGTTTGATTTTGAGGGAGGGATGGGAAGAGGATGGTGGGGGAGAGAGGAAATTTTTTTTTATCAAGCCCAGTGCATATTTTAGTCGGAGCCACAAAAAAAAAAACCAGAAAATTCTTCGGAAGCGGTGAGTCACGTGGTTTTAGTTATTCTTAAGTAATAATACACCGTACCTAGGTATATTACATACTTCATACATAACTCCAGGGCTAGTTAGTTAACTATGGCCTAGTTACGTAGATATATATGTATCTACCTTGGATATATAACTAGCTATATGAGGAAGTACTCAGAAGTACATTTTCCATGTTGGCATTCGTCTAAAAGATACAATAAATTCATACAATTCGCTATCCTAATCCTAATGCTAATTACCCATATTGTACTAACTATCAATATCCATTGGATCGTCGTATAAATCTTCCGGAACCTTGGTCTCTCTAGCGCGTGCTCGAGATTCAAGAATTGCTCTTCGAACATTATCTTTTTCCTTGGGAACCGTGAGGGAATATGGTTCCGTATAAAGAACGAGTTCTTTACCTGAGGGTTTCGAGTCGGATAGAACGGATTGAGGGACTGAGAGCACTTTCTGCACGAATGGTGAAAACACCAAACCAGGAGAGTCGGCTTCCATTAATTCTTGATCCAGGTTGTGAATATAAGTCGTATGCTTGGTGTCATCCAAGATCATTGCATCATTTGGGGGAAAGGGCTCTTGGTTATGCTGATTATGTTGGTGGTTATGTTGGATATGTTGGATGTGCTCGATATGCCCCTTGGGTTTGGTCCGAGCGGAAATTGGCACGCTATTATCTACAAATATGTTAACTTGAAAACTTCACCACAACCTCCAATTTCAATTTCAATTGCCTACCTATTCGCAGATATCCAAATCTCTTCGTTAACGGTTGCGCGCCATCGGGGTCAGCTTCAGCCGGGCGCTTCTTCCCGTGACCTTCCTCACCCGCCATCCACTTTGCCTCTCTCTCTCTCTCTCTCTGTCTTTGTCTCTCTCCCTCTGTCTCTCTTGGGTTTTTCGCAAGTGGCAAAAAAAAAAAAAAAAAGAAGAAGAAGAAGAAGAGATCAAAGGTGGTTGAACTTCTAAGTGCACAGATCCGGGGGGGTTTCAAGTTCGTTGCTCGATGCGGGTTTCTGGGGTGGTGACGAACGGGGAACGGGCTTTGACTCATCTCCTTCGCAGAAATCAACCCAGAACATTCTCTTCTTGCTTTGTTCACTCTCTGTCAACCAACCCTCCCACATTCGACAGAATGACTTCTCTCAGTTCAGAGTGGACTGCTCAGCGAGTCCGAGATACCTTTTTAGATTATTTTAAACAAAATGGCCATACATTCGGTGGGTTGAGCCCATTCTCTTTTTTTTTACCCTACCCCTCCACCCCCGCCAACGACATGGACTGACCTGAGGCTATTCTTGTAAACAGTACCTTCTTCCCCCGTTGCTCCTCTATCGGATCCGACTCTTCTTTTCACCAATGCGGGAATGAATCAGTTCAAGTCCATCTTCCTAGGCACCGTTGACGCCTCGTCGGAATTTGGAAAGATGAAGCGCGCAACAAACTCGCAAAAGGTATTGGATATTTCCCAACCAAAAAAATATTATCCGACTTTGGTACTGTTGCTAATACAATTGGATAGTGTCTTCGTGCCGGTGGAAAACATAACGTGGGTGTGCCTTGATAAACCTTGAAGAGGGGTCTTGGAGGGGCTTTGGTCCACTGACTGACTTGACACAGGATTTGGATGATGTTGGCAAGGATAGCTATCACCATGTCAGTATTGAAACCCCATTTTTATCATTCAACAGAAGAAGTGTTGACAGGGTCTCTAGACCTTCTTTGAGATGCTCGGCAACTGGAGTTTTGGCGACTACTTCAAGAAAGAAGCTATCACTTACTCGTGGACCCTGTTGACGGAAGTCTACGGGCTAGACCCCGATCGTCTCTACGTTACTTACTTTGAGGGTAATGAAGCCGGTGGATTGGAACCAGATCTGGAAGCCAAAGAACTATGGAAATCGGTGGGCGTTCCTGAATCCCACATTCTTCCTGGAGATATGAAGGACAACTTCTGGGAAATGGGTGACCAAGGCCCATGTGGACCCTGCAGTGAAGTGCACTATGATCGGATCGGTGGGCGCAACGCTGCTCACCTCGTCAATGAAGACGACCCAAATGTGTTGGAAATCTGGAACAACGTCTTCATCCAATATAACCGCGAGCCAGATAGCTCCTTGAGATCCCTTCCCAACAAACACGTCGATACCGGAATGGGCTTCGAAAGACTGGTGTCCATCCTCCAGGACAAACCTTCTAACTACGATACCGATGTCTTCACTCCGATCTTCCAGGCTATCCAGAATACCACTGGGGCCCGGGAATACCGCGGCCACTTTGGCGCCGAGGATGCCGATGGAATTGACACGGCCTACCGTGTTGTTGCAGATCACGTGCGGACTTTGATGTTCGCTATCTCGGATGGTGTCATTCCCAACAACGAGGGCCGTGGCTATGTGATTCGCCGTGTCCTACGCCGAGGAGCTCGCTATGCCCGAAAGTATTTCCAGGTCGATATTGGGAATTTCTTCGCTAAGCTAGTGCCGACTGTTGTGAATCAATTGGGTGAAATGTTCCCTGAACTCAAGCGCAAGCAGCAAGATGTTATCGAAATCTTGGACGAGGAAGAGTTGTCATTTGCCAAGACTTTGGATAGAGGTGAACGGCAATTTGAGCAATACGCCCAACAGGCCAAAGTTAAGGGCACTGATATGCTCCATGGCGCCGATGTTTGGAGACTGTACGACACCTTTGGCTTCCCGGTTGACCTGACTCGGATTATGGCCGAGGAGCGTGGCCTCCGCATTGACGATGTCGAGTTTGAAGAGGCTCGCTTGAAGGCGAAGGAGGCCAGCAAGGGTCAAAAGAAGGCCGCTGAGAACACAGTTAAGCTTGATGTTCATGATCTAGGCAAGCTGGAGAAAATGAACGACGTACAAAAAACGGATGATTCGCCTAAATTTGGCCGAGGTAACATCACTTCTCACGTCAAGGCTATCTACCATGGGAAAACTTTCCACAATAGCACTGATGATGTTCCCGAGGGGGCACAGCTTGGCGTCATTCTCGACTGTACGAACTTCTATGCGGAACAGGGTGGTCAGGAAAACGATACAGGCAAAATCATCATTGACGGACAAGCGGAGCTTGAAGTTGGCGATGTGCAATCTTATGCCGGATACGTTCTACACACTGGCTTCATGAAATACGGTTCGTTTGTTGTCGGGGATTCTGTCATTTGCGAGTATGACGAGCTCCGACGCTGGCCCATCCGGAATAACCATACCGGAACCCATATCCTGAATTTCGCCCTTAAGGAGATCCTGGGCGATGGTGTTGATCAGAAGGGTTCCCTGGTGGCCGCGGAGAAGCTCCGATTTGACTTCTCGCATAAGAGCGCAATCTCTGACGCCGAACTCGAGAAGATCGAAGCCAAGGCGACTGATTATATCCGACAGAACTGTGCTGTTTACTCCCAAGAACTTCCACTCGCCACTGCCCAACAAATTTCCGGCATTAGGGCCGTATTCGGCGAGACTTACCCTGATCCTGTTCGTGTGGTCTCTGTCGGCGTGGAATTGGAGGAGATCTTGCAGAATGTCAAGGATCCTCGTTGGCAGGAAGTCAGCATTGAGTTATGCGGTGGAACTCATGTGCAGAAGACAGGCGACATCAAGGATTTGATCATTCTGGAGGAGAATGGCATTGCCAAGGGAATTCGCCGAATTATCGCTGTCACTGGAGAGGATGCACACGAGGTGCAGAGAGTTGCCGAGGAATTCGGACAACGCCTTGATCGGCTGAACGGGTTGCCTTTGGGCTCCGGAAAGGAGCAGGAGGCTAAGCAAGTCCAGGTAGATCTCAACCAGCTTGCAATCTCCGCCGTCCAAAAGGCCAAGTTCCGCGAACGTTTTGCCAAGATCAATAAGCAGGTCCTCGATGGCCAAAAGGCCCAACAAAAAATGGAATCGAAGAAAGCCGTCGATGCTATCACCTCCTATTTCGAAGCTCCGGAAAATCAAGACAAGTCATGGCTTGTGGTCCAGCTTCCGATTTCTGCCAATGCCAAGGCTGTCAGTGAATCTCTCAACCATGTCAAATCAAAGATGCAGGGCAAGAGTGTCTATCTCTTGGCGGCCGACTCTGAACAAGGTCGGGTTTCACATGGATGTTATATCTCTCAGGTGAGTAACAGGATACATCAGTCTTACCCTTCTTGGATTTTGGGGAGGGGGGAGCAACTAAAATATCACTTGTGGATTCTTATACTGATTTTGGATACAGGGACTGAGTGACCAAGGTGCTTCAGCGAGCGACTGGGCAGCCGTCGTCTCAGGCGCCGTGGGAGGAAAAGCAGGAGGAAAGGGGCCTACGTCCATTGGTAACGGTACCAATGCTGACAAGGTCGAGGAGGCCATTTCACTGGCTGCGGATTATCTGAATAAGTTCAGGCTCTAGATTTGACGACAGGATTCTGTGTAGTCTTTCCTTTTCTTTTTCTTTTTCTTTTTCTTTTTTTTTTTTTGGTTTGGAGATATCATGTCTATGTTGATGATCATTATGAAATATCCCAAAAGCCCTGGTCACTAAAGCCATAAGAAATTGATATATTTCCATGATTTAACCTCTTTTCTTCTAATCTGCGCTGTTTCCCAGATATCACCTCATTGGCGTAATTTGCATTACATCTCTCCACATTGCACAATAGTTACATCTTGGTTGGGCTTGTCTTTAGTAGTACGGGTATGTTCCAGCATCTTAACAATGTCCATCCCATCAATCACCTGGCCGAAGACTACATGCTTGGTGTTCAAGAATGGGGTGGCCGTGGTTGTTATAAAAAATTGGCAACCATTGGTATTTGGGCCCGAATTCTGTTGTTGTTAGTGAGGGTACTCTTAGTGAGGAGAGTTTAGACTTACAGCCATACTTAACAAACCAGCACGGTCATGTGTGAGTGTGAAATTTTCATCCGCAAATTTCGAGGTGCCATATATGGTACATGACCCAGTCCCATCGCCATTGATGAAATCTCCTCCCTGGATCATGAAATCTTTGATCTGCAGCGAGTATTAGTTCTGGATTAATTCTGGATCGATATCCAGAGTTAGACAACATACCACTCGATGAAATTTGCTTCCCTTGTAGCCCTGGGGCTGTCCCTTGGAGTTCTTGCTCTCACCGGTGCAGAATTGGCGGAAATTCTCTGCGGTTCGTGGGGTGACATTTGCAAACAGCTCCATCTTCACTCGACCTAAGGACTCGCCTGTATGGGAAATTATATTACTTAGCAGAGTTCAGGTGAGATGACTACTTAGATGGACCAAAACATGCCAATAAAGCCCACTTACCTCCAAGGGCAATATCAAAGAAAACCACTGGATTAGCTTTAGCCATAGTGAGACTGGATGTGTGTAGATGTGATGAAGAGGGAGATCTCTAATTGTGTGTCGAGGTGAACGAAGGGTTTCGGGGGGAGTCGGGGGGAGATACGGAGCGGTGTAGCGGCCATATGAGACTTTTATTTATCAGCTAGTTATATATGTAAGTTACCTAGTTAGGTATTCTTTCACTTCATATAAGAGAAGTATCTTTCACTTCATTTCATATAAGAAGTAAGATAGTTTCATAAATCAAAATTCACTTAAAGCGCTATTGTTTACAAATTATAGGGTTTACACCTAATAACTACAACATAGTTAACTATGTACCTTTATGAAAGTATGCAATAATATGCAATACACAACCATTTATTCAAAAAGGAAATACAATATAGAACCAAAAAAGGGTACCTTATACGTCTTATTTACATACAACATAACTAGTTACATGTATGTACAACATAGTTCTAAACGGTGAAATTCAAAAAGTACAAAGTCCCGTGATTTACAGCCTAAGGCCTCAGTCCCTACCGCATGCAATCCTTAAGTCAGGAGCCTGGCCTCCTGCCTTGATCCACTTTCTCTCCATCTCTTCATCTCCCCATCTCCCTGTCTCCCTGTCTCTCTGTTCCTTTTGTCTTTCTGTCTCTCTGTCTCTCTTCACCTCGCCTAGGTGTCTTCTACTTTCTCTACTGATAATGATATGAGATCGACTTTCGGCATTCACCTTCTC